GGTCCCGTTAGGCTCTCTGGATGGGGACCTCGGGATGATCGTGCCCGATGGTTAGAGACACTGAGTGATATGGTAGGGTGTCGCAAACAGTGGCGTTCGTGCATCTTGTCAATTTCTCTGTATCATTAGTCCCCTGAACGTTTTTTCTCTTCGATCCTACTTTCAACCTTTGCTGTCTTTCTTCTAATGTTCATCCAAATTGGCAGCCGAAAGATGGGAACGTTAGTGCATGGTTAGTGGTTCTACAAACTGAATTGAACTGAGGCTGAATCCGCATTTTTGTTTTGTGTCATTCTGCGGACGACTTGTCAATCCGAGTAAAGTACCCGCTACTAATATGTGTGTGTGTGTGTGTGTGTGTGTGTGTGTGTGTGTGTGTGTGTGTGTGTGTGTGTGTGTGTGTGTNTGATGGTGCAACAATCACGGGAATTTTTGTGCCGTTCGTAAGCAATGCAGATTGCATCAGTGTCACTCACTTGAATGCGTTGATCTTACCATAACTGCCTACGGCTTATCTCGAGATTGCACAGAATTTTTTTTTCAGACCAAGACTACCTATTTTCTTTCAGTTTATGTGTGTTTCACTATCCCTGTGACTAACGTTAGATCGAGTTCATTCAGATCAGGTTGCATGCAATTGCATCATGACATTTAGGTGCATTGAATTGTGGAGTTGGTAAAACAGCTCATTCAGTTGAGCATTTGTACTTACACAGACTAAAATAATGAAATATTTGAGTCGCAATACAGAGCATTGATTTCACTTCTCCTTTTACTTGATTCATTGTAAGCACTTACCTTAATTTACGGCGACTAATTCACTAGAGGCGATAAACCGGCTTCATTGAGATCCCGAATTGCAGCTTCCCTCGCTCGGTAGTCTGGGGAGATTTAACCTAACTTCCTTTGGTGATTGCCGTACACGGGTTGAAGACCAAGATGGTTTGTGTCCTTGCACACCGGGGTTTCAGCTGTCCATCTCGCCGACAGCGCCAGTTTAGGTAGGGAGACCGTGCCGAGGGAGCTTTAGTCAAGCTTTGGTCTGGTTTAAGCAGTTTACGTGCTTCCGATGGATTAGTCCAGCTCGCCGTTTATTTGTAACGTAACTGCGGGGAGGAATGGGTATGTGGCACACATTTTGGTTTTGGATGTGTTCACCTCTAGGTCGATATCGGAGGCTTGCCGAATAATAGGGCTAACGATTTGTTGAAGGTCGGACATATCTTCGCCAAATGCGGCGATGCCATCAGCAAATTCTAAACAACGTTGATTGGTTCCCTCGGAATGGCATGAAACTACGGATATTATTTTTGCATGCCTTATGGATAAATGGAGACGCTGTATCGTTCTTCTCTATGTAGCACTGAATACGTTTTCCTGGTTTTTCATAACCTCGAAGTGTTATTACTGAATAGACCAGTAAGACATGAAGCCAGAAAAAAGCTGGTATACCGTTCACAAGGAAATACATCATCAGAATAAATACAACGAATATCACCCAGAGCCATCTGTGAAATCTATTCAACAAAGCTGAGTGTTTTTGTTCACGTTCAAGTTAATTTTGTGTTTATTATTGAAAGATAAAATGTCCAACTCTCACCTCATTCTGTGCACACTTTATTCCTGTGAATCAACGGAGATAGGCTACACGGTCGGGTAACAGTCGAAATTGATCATTGAACACCATCTTGCTTTGTGGAATAACGGAACGATTGCGGCACTCAAAACCTTTTCAGCTTCAAGTGAAACTTTTGTTATTTCCAGTGAATCCAACCAAATGCATTCTACTGGGAGCCCCACAAACAGATCGGTGCCTCAATCATCACCGATTGGACCGGGTCTATCGAAATCCCGGTCCAGTCCGGATCAGCTGATTCCTCCATTGTCAAACAAAATTATGGACACAGCGACACTGTTGCACAATTTAGTTCCGGAAAAATTTGCATCCAAACTTCTAGTCTGCCAAACAACAATTTGAACAATTAACCTTGTCTTAGAAGCTCATTCGGTGGACTCCGGTGAATTCTAAGGAAAACCTGTCAGCTTCGTAGTCAGCTTACATGCTAACTGGTGGATGCCACATATCTCTGTAAGTTGGATGGGTAAATTCGAATGTGAAAAAATCAGTGCTATCAGTGTGGCCTCGTAGCTCAGCTGGTAGAGCGTGCGCGTACAAAGCGTAGGCGGCTTCCATGTGTGGGTTCGAATCCCACCGAGGCTACTGAACTTTTCACAATCGACATAAAAACTTCAAATCTGCCAAACAACAATTTGAACAATTTAGCTGTATCTCTTCAGTACATACTACAGTGAAAGGATACAATGAAAACTAACAAGTAACAGTTACCATGGATGACTTGTTGGTGTTATCTTCGTTCATCTTTCTACCAAGGCAGAGCTAGACTAACAAATAACTCTGCTTTCACAGTTCAGGCTTTCATCGTTTTATAGCAATCACCTCTGCAAACTGGAGCAACTAAGAGTTGTGCATGATTAGGACACTTGAATGCCGTGGTCACGTTCACTTGATGCCCAGACCCTAACACGTGATGAGCGATCGATGACGGTGGTGTTGGGTTGACCTTGATCATCCGGGTGTGGTTCGTTCACCAGTTTGTTATCCCACAGGGATTTGTTCGGCTGCTCGTTGTCTAAGCTGCCGCTCGGTTNCTCGGTTCTACCTATGTAGGTGGCCGAGCACCCATAGACGAACTGGTACATTTGATGGGATTGGGCATACTGCGGAAATGGTTGCTCGACTGGAGGAGCCGATTTTCCGTCGCATGTGTAGACGAAAACTGGTTCGGCTGTGTTGAATGTTCGTCTGATGGACGAGCTTAGGTGGTGCTCAAAAAAATTACTCACATCATCACCCTTGAATGGTAGTTGTGGGACAACCTTACACCGGTACGGATATTGGTCGCTTTACCTTGGAACTTGCAGTGCTATACTTTTTCACGAACGATCTCTGGTAAACATTGTCCTGGAGAGTGCTACTCAGTTTTAGCGTCTCATCTGCGATGTTAACTGGCGTAAAAATTCTTTTCTCACACGGTCATAAAGTGTCCTCACTAGCCCTCGTTTGTAACGGATGGGACGAAGCTGGTGAAATGTAGCTACTGACCCGTCCACGTGTGTTTTCGGTGAACGTATCTGCCATGGCTTCCGTCGGTCCTCCGTTGCATTTTTACATCCAATAAGGACAAGGTATCGGTTTCTTCAGGTTCCATTGTCAACTTTATATGTGGGTGGGCGTTTTTCAGGATTTTTGAA